GGTGCCTAAATTTGAATATTAATAGTATTAACTGATCTTCCTTGTAGGCGTATGGATATTATCTTATCTCTGACAATGCTATACTTCAGGACAGATCTTGAAACACTCTTTGTGACAATGAATGCCACACCATTCCTCTTCAATTTGTCTGTCATTCCCAGCATAGTAGATCTTATGATTGTCTGATTCAAAATGGCCAAAACCAGTCCATTTCAACTCACTAATGCTTAGGATATTGATCTTTATGCATTACATTTCATTTTTGACAACTTCCCATTTTCCTAGATTCATACTTCATACATTCCATGTTCCAATTATTAATGGATGTTTGCATCTGTTTCTACTTATTTTGGGTCATGTCACATTAGCCAATGGAGGCCCTGAAAGCATTACTCTATCCATATTGTAAAAGTCATCTCTACTCGGAGGAGTTAGCTTTTCCCAATCAAATGTTGAGTGCCTTCTGACCTGATGTGCTCATCTCCCAGCACTATATCAGACAATGTTTCAGGGCTATTCATAAAGTTTTCCAGTAATATATCAGACAGTGTTTCACTGCTACTTGTAAGGTTCTCACTGGCCAATTCTTTGATAAGTGGATGGCCTCTTCCTTCTTTGAGTCTGTCTTAGCCCAAAAGCTCTGCTGAAACCTGCCCACCATGGATAACCCTGCTAGCATTTTGCAACATGGTGGCATAGCCTCCAGCCTCATAGCAACACATTAGCCAACAGGACAACAAACTGACAGACAAGTTTGTCTCCCTTAGTTGTTCCTAACCACTCTGGACCTGCCTACCTCAAGCAATGGCCTTAAAATAGAACCGCCCACAAGCAAAAAACAGCCCCCGAGCCCCAGCCAGCCTACCTCAGGCCCCGGCCTTAATATAGAACTACATCCAAGTGAAAAGTAGCCTCCAAGCCTTAGGGCTGCATACTTCAGTCGCTGGCCTCAATATAAAGCCACACCCAAGCAAAAAGCAGCCTCCAAGCTTTGGGCCTGCCTGCCTCAGGTCCTGGCCTTAATATAGAGCCACCCCCAAATGAAAAGCAGCCTCCAAGCCACAGGCCCACCTACCTCAGGCCCTAGCCTTATAGAGTCACACTCAAGCAAAAAGCAGCCCTCAAGACTCTGGTCCACCTACTTCAGGCCCTGGTGATACAGTAATAAAAAACAAATAGTGACAAGTATGGAGGGCTCACACTTCTTTTCAAAACATATTACTAAGTTAGAGTAATCAAGACAGAGTAGTGTTGGCCCAAAGATAGACATATAGTTCAATGGAATAGAATATAAAGTCCAGAAATAAACTATGGAAGAGCAAGCTGAAGCCCCTGTTCAAATTAAAAAGCTTTATTGAAAGAATAGACCAGTCTGGATTAGGCAGCAGTTAGTGAGAATTCACTAAAGCACTTCAGTCAGAGGAATTTTTCACATGGTATAAATTCAGGAACTCACAAAGAAAAAGTTCTGATTAGTTGACATGTACAAAATCATGCTTTAACCACCATAGGAAAATTATTCAAGCCTTTATTAGAAGAGGATGTGGCAAAAGGGATATCATTGCTGCTATTAGGTGGATCTTGGCTGAAATTAAAGAACCAGAAAGATGTTTACCTATGTTTTCTTGACTATGCAAAGATATTCAACTGTATTGATCATAACAACTTATAGATAATATTGCAAAGAATGGGAATTCCAGAACGCTTAATGTTGCTCATGAGGAACCTGTACATAGACCAAGAATCAGTAGTTCTAATAGAAACTGTATGGTTTAAAATCAAGAAAGGTATCTGACAGTGTTGTATTCTTTCACTATACTTACTCACTTCATATGCTGAACAAAAAATCCAATGCAAGAATTTGGCTAATATGAAGTATGCAGCATCAGGATTGAAGGAAGACTCACTAACAACCTGAGATATGCAAATGGCACACCTTGCTTGCTGAAAGTGAAGAAGACTTAAAACATTTGCTAATGAAGATCAAAGACTACAGCTTTCAGATTGGGTTATACCTTAACATAAAAATCTTCACAATAGAACCAATAAGCAACATCATAATAAATGGAGAAAAGTGTGAGGTTGTCAGTGATTTCCTTTTACTTGGATGCACAATCAATGCCCATGGAAGCAGCAGTCAAGAAATCAAACAACCTATTGCATTGGACAAATCTACTTTGAGGGACTTCTTTAAAATGTTAAAGAGCAAAGATATCACTTTGAACATTAGGGTGCACCTGACTCAAGCCATGGCATTTTCAGTAACCTCAGATACATACAAAAGCTAGCAATGAATAAAGAGTACAGCAGAAGAATTAATGGATTTCAGTTGTGGTGTTGGCAAAGAATATTGAATATTCCATGTACTGCCAGAAGAATGAACAAATCCTTAGAAATGAGAATGGCCAGACTTCATCTTGTACTTTGTTTGGTCTTGTTATCGGAAGAGACCAGTCCCTGAAGGATATCATGCTTGATAAAATATAGGGTCAGCAAAAAAGGGGGAGACCCTCAATTAAATGGATTGGCACAGTGGTTGTAGTGATGGGCTCAATTACAGCAACGATAGAGAAGATCGTGCGGGACCAGGCAGTGCTTCATTCTATTGTACATAGTGTCACTAGGAGTTGGAACTGACTAGTTGGCATCTAACAACAAGAAAATTATCATAAGCATTGTTTTGTTAATCATTAAGTTTGACTCCATTAACATCTTGTTAATGCCTGGATATCTTGAAGCCAGCCAAAGTACTCCTCCTGGGAGCAAACAGGGAGTCTGTAAGCTTCCTAAAATATTCTGGCTAGCTGACTTTTGAAAGTTAGCTCAGAATGAGCAGAAACAACACAATGGAGTCCAGCCCACATCTTGGGCAAAAGCCTCTCTTTACGCCAAGCATCTAGATTTTTGGAGCTCCTTAAGAAAACCCTCACATTTAAAGTTAATTGATTTTTTGTAAGGCTGACAAGACAATTAATGGGGGAAAGGATGGTCTTTTCAAGAAATGATGTTGTGAAAAGTGAATATCCACATAGAGAAAGAAAAAAAAACAAAGATGAGTTTGAAACATTATGTCATGCCATTCACAAAAATTAACTGAAAATGGATGATAGATGTAAATTTTAAGAGCAAAACCATAAAGAAATTACAGGAGCTTCTCTCGGTGACCTTACATTAAGCATTATTTTCTTAGAAAGAATATCAAAGCACAAGCCAGAAAAGAAACAATAGGTTATTGGACTTCATCACAACAAAAAAACTTTTGTGCTGCAAATAATACAATCAAAAAAGTTAAAAACCACAGTACGAAATTCTTTGTAAGTCATTTATCGGATATAGGACTTGCATCAAGAGTGATCAGATATGGAACTTATATCTAGAATATATAAATAACACAAGTTAATAACAAAAAGACAAAAATGAGTAAGGTGTATAAATAAACATCTCTCCTTAGAAGATACACAAATTGTCACCAAGCACATAAAAAGATATTCAACATCTTAGTGAAATGCAAGTAAATTGAAACCATAGATAGGTAACATTTCACACCCACTAGAGTGATTATAGGTGCTCTGATGGTGCATTGCCTGAGGTGTTTGACTGCTAACCAAAAAGTCAGTGGCTCAAACCCACCAGCTGCCCCATGGGAGGAAGACAGGGCAACCTACTTCTGTGAAGATTCACTGCATTGGAAACGCAATGGGGGTTACTATGAGTTGGAACTGAATCAATGGTGGTGGGTTAGTGGGGTTTGAGCCACCAGCCTTCTGGTTAGCAGTCAAATGCCTTAGGCATTACACCACCAGAGCTCCCGAGTTAGTGGGTTGAGTGATTATAATTTAAAAAGACATGTGATAACATCTTTTGACAAGGATGAGGAGAAATTGAGATCTTAGTGGTCTTTTTCCAGCACTGCCGAAACTGTATCATCGCTTTCCACTGTCAACCCAGTAAAAGCTGCTACTAAGCTTCAAGTTGTCTTACCCTTCATATATACTTCTTTTCCCTCTGCCAAATATTCCTGGAGTTGAGCTCTCACACACACTTCTGGAGCCCATAATCTGCAGAGCTCCTGTATGTTCAGTGCTCCACTCTGCAAATGCCAGGATTTCTCCTGTCCTCCTTAACTCAGTGAGAATGCTGCCTTTGGCAGAGATCAGCAAATTGTCTATAGGTAGAATGAGACTATCATAACATTGACATCATGTATTACCCTTCAATTAGATATTGTTGTTTTGCATTTCCAATTGGCTTTGAGCAACTATCACTCATTTATTTTGTCTTGTTTGCTATTCTTACAGTAGGAGAACACCAGATAAATTTCTTCATGACCAGAAATGGAACCTCTATTTTCCTTTCTCAGTTTAGTAAAAACCTCAAAATTAATATAATGATAATTAGATCTGATTTCTTTAATCTGCCTTTGGAGTCATTAATTCCATTAGAAGAGTACCCAGCCTCTTTAATGATATCTTTAATAAAGAGTTCTAATGGATGAGGCAGAGAGGGAACATCTTTAAAAGTGTTGAGCTCTGCCACAGTTTAAGACTGCTTCATATTCGCTTACTTGTACTTTTTTACACATATTTGCCAATTAATTTCCTATAATACTCAAACATTTTGAATCACTATCTTTTAGGTGTAAATTTAGGTAGGTTTAGATATCTCCCAATCAATGTATAATTTGTTTGTGTGTGTGTGCATGTGTGTGTTTTAAAGTTACAGATTAAACAGTTATTTTGGTTGTCATTCTGATTGTCCTAATCATTATTTTTGTATTTAAGATGTCTATGTTTCTTTTGTTTGATTGGATAAACATTCCATAGATTTTATTGTTCTCTCTAATTCTTTGAATAGTTGTATACATACTGAAACATTTACAAGAGTATGTTTCTTTAATTAATAAAATCAAAATTATAACAATGTCATCTTATGCATGTAATGTGGAAATTTAACCTAATTTACTATCATCAATAGTTTTTTATTTTATTTTATTTTTTTAGTTATCTATCAGGTACATCAATACATTTTTCATAAAATAAACCATTTTAAAACACTTATTTTTTCCCCTATTTCTCAAACTGAAGATCCCAACATTGAATAAAATCAATTTAATGTGTTATAAGCAGCAGTCTCTAGAATGGAATATTAAAGAATAAAATATACCCACTGCCGTCGAGTCTTATCTGACTCATAGTGACCCCACCTTGGGTTTCCGAGAGGATATCACTATGGAAGTAGATTGCTCAACCTTCCTTCCGAGGAGTGGCTGGTGGGTTTGAACTGCCAACCTTCTTTTTAGAAGTCAAATGTCTTATGTACTACACCACCAGAGCTCCTATCACATATACAGTGATAAATTTAAAGATTAAATATACATATAACGATTAAAATAAATTTATGTCAATGATATACTTGTAAGTGTATTGAGTTGACATAAAGTATATATAATAAACTTTGGGGCACAAACACGGTAGATTGAAAAAGACTTTTAAATTCAAATTTATCCATTCCATTACATATGATATTTATGATATAGCACCAGAAAGATGATCCCCTCAGGTTGGAGGCACTGAAAATATGACTGGGGAAGAGCTGCCTCCTCAAAGTGGGGTAGATCTTAATGACATGAATGGAGTCATGACCTTTCAAGACCTTCATTTGATAACAGGACACGATTCAAAATGGAAAGAAACAGCTTCAAACACCCATCCAAATTTTTATAATTCAAATTAGTATGTTGTTTGAAAATCATTTTTTAAAAAGCTGAAATGTACTCTGATGTTTGCAGATCAAAATCAACCTTTGTTTGTAAGACAACGTGCTGCTCACCAACAATATAGCCTATGGACCAGTTTCTACATTTTCCTACCTTTTCTTATATTAACTTCAATTATTGCTCTAAAATGGAATAAAGTGAAACAATTATGGAACAGAACAGGAGCAGTAAGTGGAGGGTAAGTAAAACAAAAATTTTATATTTAATGTTGGAATACATAATGGGAAAAATTCAAATGTAAATCAGAATATTACAAGTCCACATTCTTTCATGGATTGAGTTAATGTTTGCAAACACTGAGTGAGAATGTCTCAGTATATACATTTTTCTTTTCATATTTCATGAAGTATCCTTCATGTTCCTATAGAACAAGGAATAACAAGCTGGTCAATAAATCTTCAGTGTTTTTCAAATAGGAAGCCATGCTGGCTATAATTGTTCAGGAGGTTCTGTCTACTTCCCATGCAACCTCATCTTCCTTGCATTGGCATTCAGTTGTGCACTGAATGAATAGAGATGAATAAAAATTAAAAAAAAAAAAAGTCATGGGAGCTATATTTGTATGTAGAATATGCTGAAGGTGAAAAAGGTAGGAATTTGTGAAAAATGAAGGAGCAAGCACAGATAGCAGAGTCTTATTTTAACATAATTAATATTGACTATATGTTTCTAAAGGGAGCTCTGGTAGCATAGTGGCTAAGATACTTGCCTGCTAACCAGACGGCTGGTGGTTCAAACCCACCAGCCACTCCTCGGAAGGAAGGTTGGGCAATCCTACTTCCGTAGTGATACTGCCTCGGAAACCCAAGGAGGGGTCGCTATGAGTCGGGTTTGACTCGACGGCACATAACAACAGCAACAACAATGTTTCTAAAATAAAAATTAAGAAACATCCTCAAACTTTTCTTTTTCCTTTGTAACACTAAACCTAGTGGTAATTTACTTTGTGAACATTTAGGAAAATTTGAAAACAGAAATACAGATAAATATGAGTCTCTTCTTTGATGTTAAAGGACAATGGCTGCCTGGGTCTCAGTTGTGTATGGTAAATAATAAAATGTTATGAAATATCCACTGGCACATTTTTAATTTATCAAGTTAGTTAACTTTATTTTTCACATGTTAGCAGCAACAAGATCACCATTCTTCTGTTGATTTGTCATAGTGTGGTGGCTTGCATATTGCTGTGAGGCTGGAGGCTGTGCCACCCAACAGGGTCATCCATGGTGGACAGGCTTCAGCGGAGCTTCCAGACTAAGACACACTAGGAAGAAGGACAGGGCCATCCACTTCTGAAAAAAAAATGGCCAGTGAAAACCTGGAAAACTCTATAAATAGCCATTAAAAAGTATCTGATATAGTGCCAGAAGATGAACTCCTCAGGTTGGAAGGCACTCAAAATATGACTGGGAAAGAGCTGCCTCCTCAAACTAGAATTGACCTTAATCACATGGATAGAGTAAAGCTTTCAAAACCTTTATTGCTGATGGGGCACAACCCGATATGGGAAGACATAGCTGCAAAAGTCTATTGATAATTGGAATATGGTATGTAAGAAGTATGGATCTAGGGAAAATGATGTGGAACACATAAAGATCTAAATCCTAGGCATTAGTAAGCTGAAATGAATAATGTTGACTATTTTGAATCAGTCAGTCATGTGGTCTACTATGCTGGAAATGAAAAACTGAAGAGGAATGGCACAGAATTCATTGTCAAAGGAATATTTCAAGATCTATCCTGAAGTACAGGGCTGTCAGTGGTAAAATAATATCCATACAGCTACAAGGAAGACTAGTTAATATTATGATTATTAAAATTCATGCACCAAACACTAAAGAAAAAGATGAAGAAATTGAAGATTTTTATCAATTTCTGCAGTCTGAAATTGACCAAATATGTAATCAACATGTATTGTTATTCATGATTGGAATGTGAAAGTTGGAAAAAAAGAAGAATTATTAGTAGTTGAAAAATATGACCTTGGTGATAGAAATGATGCCAGAGGTTATGTAATAGAATTTTGCAAGACCAATGACTTTCATTGCAAATACCTTTCTTCAACAACATAAATGGCACCTATACACATGGACCTCACCAGATAGATTACACAGGAATCAGACTACATCTGTGGAAAGAGGCAATGGAGAAGTTCAATATCATCAGTCAAAACAAGGCTAGGTTCTGACTGTGGAACAGATCATCAATTGCGCATATGCAAGTTCAAGATGAAGCTGAAGAAAATTAAAACAAGTTCACAAGATCCAAAATATGACCTTGATTATATCCCACCTGAATTTAGAGATAATCTGAAAAATAGATTTGACACATTGAACACCAAAGACAGAAGACCAAATGAGTTGTGGGATGACATCAAGAACATCATACCTGGAGAAAGTAAGAGGTCACTAAAAAGACAGGAAAGGAAGAAAAGATCAAATATTTGTCAGAAGAGACTCTGAAACTTGCTCTTGAATGGAGAGTAGCTGAAGTGAATGGAAGAAATGCTGAAATAAAAGAGCTCAACAGATTTCAAAGGGTGGCTCAAGGAGACAAAATAAAGTATTAAAATCAAATATGCAGACCTGAAGTTAGAAAACCAAAAGGGAAAAACGTTGTCAGCATTACTCCAGCTGAAAGAACTGGAAAAAAAAAAAAAAATTCAAACCTCAAGTTGCAATATTGAAAGAGTCTGTGGGCAAAATATTGAATGATGCAGGAAGCATCAAAAGAAAATGGAAGGAAACACAGAATCACTGGACCAAACAAATAGCATTTGTCAATGTTCAGCAGTTTCAGGAGGTACAATATAATGAAGAACCAATGGTATTGAAGGAAGAAGTTGAAACTGCACTAAAGGAACTGGCAAAAGACAAGGGCTCCAGGAATTGATGGAATTCCCAGAGATGTTTCGACAAACAGATGCAAGACTGGAAGTGCTTACTGGCTTATACCAAGAAATTTGGAAGACAGCTACCTGGCCAACTAACTGGAAGAGATTGCTAGTTATACCCATTCCAAACAAAAGTGATCCAACAGAACGTGGAAATTGTTGAATAATATCATGCAAGTAAAATTTTGCTGAAGATAATTTAAAAAGGGTTGCAGCAACACATTGATAGGGAATGTCCAGAAATTCAAGCAGGGTTCAGAAGACATGAAACAAGGGATATCTTTGCTGTCATCAGATGGATCTCAACTGAAAGTAAAGAATATCACAAAAAACGTTTACTTGTGTTTTACTGACTATGCAAAGGCATTTGACTGTGTGGATCATAATAAAATATGGATAATATTGTGAAGAATTGGAATTCCAGAACACTTAATTGTGCTCATGGGAGTCTGTATATGGATCAGGAAGCTGTTGTTTGAACAGAACAAGGGGATACTGCATGGTTTAAAGTCAGGAAGAGTGTGCATCATGGTTGTATCCTTTCATAATGGTTGTTCAATCTGTATGCTGAGCAAATAATCCAAGAAGCTGGGCTATATGAACACTGTGGCATCAGGATTGGAGGAAGGCTCATTAACAACCTGCAATATGCAGATGACACAACCTTGCTTGCTGAAAGTGAGGATGACTGGAAGCAATTAATTACTGATGAAGATCAAAGACTTACATTTCAACATAAAGAAAATGAAAATCTTCACAACTGGACCAATAAGCAACAAGATGGTAAATGGAGAAAAGATTGAAGTTGTCAGGAATTTCATTTTACTTGGAACTACAATCAACACACATGGAAGCAGCAGTCAAGAAATCAGACATCATATTATACTGGACAAATTTTCTTCAGAGGACCCCTTTAAATGTTAAGATGCAAAGACGTGACTTTGAAGACTAAGGTGTACCTAACCTAAAACCAAAATAACCAAACTCACTGCCATCAAGTTGATTCTGATTCACAGCAACACCCATTTGGTTTCTGAGGCTTTATGGAATCTTTATGGAAGTAGATTGCCCCATCTTCCATCTGTGGAGTAGCTAGTAGGTTTGAACCACTGACCTTCTGGTTAGCAGCCAAATACTTTATCCCCGCACTATACCACCAGAGCCCCTGATGCCTAACCCAAGCCACGGTATTTTCAGCAGCCTCATATGCATGTAAAAGCTGGATAAGGAATAAGGAAGACCAAAGAAGAATAGATGTCTTTGAATTGTGGTGTTGGCAATGAATACTGAAAATACCAAGGACTTCCAAAAGAACAAACAAATCTGTCCTGGGAAGAAGTGCAGCTGGAATGCTCCTTGGAAGTGAGAATGACCAGACTGAGTCTCACCTCTTTTGGTCATGTTGTCGGAAGGGACCAGTCCATGGAGAAGGAAATCATGCTTGGTAAAGTAGAGGGTCAGGAAAAAAGGGGAAGACCTTCATCCAAATAGATTGACACAGTAGCTCCAGTGAGGGGCCTGAGTATAGCAAGGATTGTGAGGATGGCACAGGACTGGGCAGTGAGTGGTTCGTTCTGTTGTCCACAGGGTCACTGTGAGCCCAAGCCAACTCAATGGCACCTAACAAGAATAACATTCTGCTTGATGTATATAAACATTTACATAATTATCACTTTGTGATCAATTAATTTAATTGAATAAAACTAACTTAGGTCTTCCTGTGTTCTAAAAATAACTTAGAAAAATCTGAACAATTGCTAGAAAGTAAACCTGACTTTTGGAAGAGATGTTAAAGTAAGGAATCTTTTGGTCACAAATATCAAAATTAGGTCATCATAACATAAATTTAGCACAAAGAGAAATGCTTAGCATAAGAAATGAAATAGAGTTAATTAAAGCAAAAAAGGGTGATTATGAACTGAAAGGCCAGGAACTAAGGTCATTGTCCCCATTACTCAATGCTTTCTCATTGATATTATCGCTTGTCTATGTTCTCTCTTTCCAAATGACTATCTGTGCTTATACATGGTCCAGCATACTTATCTCAACTCTATTGTGGATTCATCTTAAAATAAAATAACAATCTGTCTGTTTAGTGCAACTGCCTCTTAGTGCATAGTCTCAAGATCCAGAAAGAAATAGCTGTGCAAATTCACCCAGTATTATAGATTTATGGCTCTTCAACCAGGTGCTCAAACTTGATGCCTTCATCTGTGGACAAGGAATAGCAGACACATAGTATAAATCTGGCCTCCAGAACTAAAACTATCTCTATTTGCGGATGATATGATCCTGTGCATAGAAAACCCAAGAGACTCAATAAAAAAAACTACTAGAACTAATAGAGAGGTTCATCAAAGTGGCACAACACAAGGTCAACAAACAAAAATCAGTTGGATGTCTCTACACCAGCAAGGAGTCCTCTGATAAAGAAATAAGGGAAACAATACCATTTACTATAGATACTAAGTCGGGGCTGACTCGACGGCACATAACAACAACAACAACAACAACATAGATACTAAAAAGATAAAATATCTAGGAATAAACAAGCCTCACCGGGGCACAAAAGATCTATACAGAAGAAACTATAAAACACTGCTACAAGAGACAACAAGGGCACTACAGAAATGGAAGAACCTACCTTGTTCATGGATAGGTAGACTAAATATTATGAAAATGTCAAAACTACCTAAAGCAATCTATACATTTAATGCAATTCTGATCTAGATTTCAACAAAATTTTTTAAGGACATATGGAAAAAAGAGACCTCGAATAAGCAGAGCACTTCTCAACAAGAAAAACAAAGTGGGAGGTCTCACGCTCCCAGATCTTAAGAACTATAATATAGCCACAGTAGTCAAAAAGCATGGTGTTGGTACAATGATTGGCAGATAGACCAATGGAACAGAATCGAAAGTCCAGATATAGACCCATCCATCTATGGACAAATGATCTTTGACAAAGGTCCAAAACCCATTAAATGGGGAAGAGACATCCTCTTTAACAAATGGTGCTGGCAAAACTGGATATCCACCTTTAGAAAAATGAAACAAGACCCATACCTCACCCCATACACAAAAACAAACTCAAGCTGGATCAAAGACTTAAATGTAAAACCCAAAACTATAAAATTCATCAAAGATAAAATAGGGGTAAATCTGGGAACCCTAATTTATGGCATAAATAGACTATCAAGCATAACCCAGAATGTGCAGGAGATAGAAGAGAAGCTAGATGACTGGGTCCTTTCAAAAATTAAATTCTTATGCACATTGAAAGACTTCTGGTCAGATGAAATCTGGTGAGACCCCTGATACTATGGCCCTGGAATGCATTCTAACATATCTGATGAAGGACTTATCTCCAAAATCTACAGAAAACTTCAACATCTCAACACCAAAAAAACAAATAACCCAATTCATAAATGGGCAAAAGACTTGAACAGACACTTCCCCAAAGAAGATATACAGGTAGCCAACAAACACATGAGAAATTGCTCGCAACCATTAATCATCAAAGAGATACAAATCAAAACAACAGTGAGATATCATCTCACCCCAGCAATAATAACAAAGTTCAGCAGGTCAGAAAATAACAAATGCTGGCAAGGTTGTGGAGAGATTGGAACTCTTGTGCACTGTTGGTGGGATTGTAAAATGGTACAACCACTGCAGCAAATGGTATGGCGTTTCTTTGAAAAACTGAAAATAGAAGTACCATTTGACCCAGCAATTCCATTACTAGGAATATATCCTAAACAGGTGAGAGAGAGTGCACAGACAGACATATGTACACCTATATTCCTCGCAGCACAATTCACTATAATAAAGAGATGGAAATAACCTAAATGCCCATCAATGGGTGAGTGGATAACCAAATTATGGTATATGCACACAAGGTACATACATTAAAGAACAATGAGGGATACGTGAATCATCTCACAACAAGTATGAACCTGGAGGACATTATGCTGAGTGAAATAAGTCAATCTCAGGAAGACAAATACTGTCTGAGCCTATTACTGTAAAAAGACAAAGAAGGGTTTGCTTGGGAAAGGGAACTCACTTAGTAGGTTACTGGGATGGGGAGGGAAGGGGTGGGATTAATTTTGGGCTAGTTGGGACCTACATGCTGACATGGGTAGGGGGAAGGATATATGGGAAGGATCTGTGACCACCATGATAACACTAGGAAATGGGAGGACACCAAACTGTGCACATAAGAGATTGACGACAGATGCTAATACCAACCAATGTGTCTACAATGCTGCGTTGCCATTAACACCAAACACCAGGCTACAGATAAACACATAAACACCTGAGATGATCAGACGGGGGTCAATGAACAGAAGTATGCTCTAGACCAAGGATAGATTCAGCTGAGGCTAATCTTGCATAGACACCAGTGATACAAAATACCTACAGTCCTTACAGAAACAATAGAAGACAGACACAGAGTAATCCCTCACAGACAAGCACCCACTATGGGAGACAGATCCAATAGATCTACCATCTCAGGACCATAGTAAAGGGGGATACCAGACTCAATTGGCACAACAAATACATAAAAGCATTGCTCTGCATCTTACATTGGTGAGTAGCAACTGGGGTCTTAAAAGCTTTAAAGAGGCTATCTAAGATGCAGCTAATGGTCTCCTAGTGTCAGAAGTGAAGAAGAACGCAAAAAAGGGGGGGGGGGCATTTGGAAGCAATCAGCTCTACGACATGATGGCCCTTGAGACCAGAAGAATGAGATAGTGACCGGCTACCAATGCCAAACACTCAGGAAAGGATCAAATCTCGAGATCCTGGATAGAGCGGGAGGGAAAACATGGAACGAAATCCAAAAACTCAATAATGACCAGAATTACTGGTCAGATGAAATCTGGCGAGACCCCCAATATTATGGCCCTGGAATACATTCTGCACCTGGAATAAAACGCACCCCCAGGAACTGGCTATCAGCCCAATAGTTAACAAGATATACATGCAGACCACTCAACCCAGGATGCTGCACCCACATACTCTATGGTAATGCATCCCTTAGAGCAATAGACCACGGGACACCAGAGGACCAACACTGCAAACTGAGGAAGTGCAGGACAAACAGGAGTGCATAAATATGAGGGGCAAGGGGAAGGGTTACAGGGTAGGGAGGGGAGGAGACTGGGTTAGAGTTGGACAAGGTAAATGGGGAATGAAACTAAATGTATGCATTACATTGAATGTAAAACAAGCTCTTAAAATTAAAAAAAAAAAATCTGGCCTCTTCTTCAATAAGAACTGTGTACAAGAGCAATTTTTTTTTTTAATGACAGAGTTTTTAAATATCACTAAATATAAATAAATATGGCTGGCAGATTTAGAAGGCTCATAAAGAAAACAAAATTGAAATTATAATGGAAATAATAAGTTGTTTACCTAGTTAATTGATGGGAATATTATTCTAGAGATAATAGTTCAGGAAGGTGAAGATTCACACTGAAATTATCTTTTAAGCTTTAGAGAACCATTTTCAAAGATATAACAATATCTTTCCCATCATTCAGTATTGATAAAACATGTGGAAAAAATGGATGGCTTTTTAAGTTGATATGAAAAATAATTGTTTAACTTCTTTAAAATTTAGACCAACATCAGAAAAAGACCAGACAGTAGAATAAGTGAACTGTGCCCACATTATAGAGAAACATAGTAGATATCTGTACATATTAGCTGAATGGCATAAATATGGATTTCTCATTGTTCTTAATTATTCTCAGGATTACAATATTTCCCCACCCTAAAATCAATGCTTTCTTTTTTAAATACAGATATGAATCAGAGGACAGCAGTAGTAACAGCAACTTGTAATAAAGGTAAATTAAAGTGATTTAATTTCTGAAAACATTATCTGATTCATCAATTTATTATTTTAATAATACCTCAATATAAGAAAGCTATTGGGAGCTCTCGTGGCGTAGTGCTTAAGGCACTTGACTGCTAACCAGAAGGCTGGTGGTTCAAACCCACCAGCCACTCCTCGGAAGAAAGATGGGGCAATCTACTTCCGTATGATACTGCCTCAGAAACCCAAGGAGGGCTCGCTATGAGTCGGATCCACTTCTACGGCAAATAACAACAAATAACAAGACTGTTCCGATATTTCATCATTCTGACTCCTATATATCAATATCACATCGACAAGGAATAAGATCAAGCATGTTGATGTTCTTTGAGTTAAACTGTTATATATTGAATTAGAAATATCTAATATTAACTAATATTAGCCAAAGGTGTATTAAACAATATTGCTATATAAGAAATGGCTCTTAGAAGCTTTAAAATATTTTCTTCAAATATATATGCATAAACAAACATGCATCCTGGCCTGTCTCATTTAATTTAGCCCCTCTTTATTAATTAATTTCTCATTTATACTTTTATCATTCTAGTAATAATATGGAATACTTTTTGAGTGCTTACTGAGTCGTCACTATGTGCCAGATTCTAAGTGGTAGATTTATACAGGTATCTCCCCTATCCTCACATTTACATTTCTTCCTCACTAAGACATGGTGAATGTTACCTTTATTTCAAAATAAGACAGCATACATAAAGAAATTAAATAATTTTGCATGTTTATGTAATTAGTAAGGAGCCCTAGTGGCATACTGGTTAAAACATTCAGCTGCTAACCAAAAGATCAGTGATTCAAACCCATTAGCCTCTCCACAGGAGAAAGATGAGGCAACATATAGGGCAGTTCTACTCTGTCCTCTAGAGTCACGATGAGTCAGAATCAACTCAATGGTTTGGTGGGTATATAATTAGAAAGTTATAAAGTTACAGTTTAATTTAAGGCAATCAGATACCAGAGTTTAAACTGTTAAGAATACACATATGGCCTTGAAATATGACTACTGGCAATGAGGAATGAAATTTACATTTGTTGAGGACTATTTAAATCCAGACAAATTCTAAATATACCTCTTCCAAGGCAGGTAGATGATAGATAGATACATATATGATAGATAAAGTCATTGCCTTTGAGTCAATTTCAACTCATAGTGACCCCATTGGTTTTCTGAGGTGGTAAATCTTTATGGAAGTAGATCACCCTATCTTTCTTCTGCAGAGTGGCTGGTAGGTTTGAACCTCCAACCTTCTGGTTTGCAGTCAAATGCCTTAAGCACTGCACCACCAGAGCTTTATATACCAAAAACCACACTCACTGCCATCGAATGGATTCCAACTCCTAGCAATGTATATGCATATATATATATATACACATGTATATATATTGTTCTAAGTATCAATTCATATGTGTAAATGCAAAATGATATTTGACGTGTTAGACCAATCATTGAAGTAAATGAAAAAATTTATGAACTCAGTGAGAGTGAGACCAAAATTTACCAAATTGCCTGCCTGCCATTCCTCCCTACATATCTGATTTTTGATTGACAAGTAAGTCAATAGGTGTCTATTTCCTTATATGCCACCAAAGAAACTATTTACGTCTTTTAACCTTAATGTAAAAAGTAATAGTCTTATTCCTACCTCAACAAATCCATCTCTCCCCATTCATATTTTAATATATAAAACTTTTTTAAAGGCCTTCAATTTCTGGCACTTTGACCACTTTCTTCTCTATTCCAATCTTCCTATTTTGTTTCACCATCTTCACCTGAACACCACTCCCACCCAGCTTCAGTGATCCTATTCCAGAAAAATATACTGAAGTTGTCATTATCCTTGTTTCTTATAACTCTTAAGTCACTACTTGCTTTTATTTATTTATTATTTTCTCATTTTTATTGCCTTCTCCTGATGTCTTGATGACATCAAAATATTGCCCCAGAATATTATATGATAGGATTGGTAACCAGTCCATAGGAGGCAAATATAGTATACAAATTAATTATATAGTGTATTGAAAGTTGATTAATCATACAGAAAATAATAGAGAAGTAGGTGGTGAGGAGAGTCTATGTTGAGTGAGGACCAGATAGCAATTTTAAAGATGGTTGCCTGGGTAGGCCTTATTGAGCAAGTGACATTTAAACTCCTTAGACATTTATGCTCCTTAGAAGCAAGGATTGTGAGGCTTTGTCTCAGGTAATTTGAACCTGTTGTCAGTAGGGACCAGTCCCTAAAGAAGGACATCATGTTTGGTAAAGTAAAAGGTCAGCAAACAAAAAAAGAAGACCATCAAGACTATACACTGACACAGTGCCTACAGTGAGATCAAACATTAAAATGTGAGGATGGCACACGACTGAACAGCTTTCTGTTCTGCTGTCCATAGGATGACTATGAGTTGCAAGAGTTCCAGTATTTTTCCGGTTTAAATGTCTGAAAGGATTTGCCCTAAGTTTTTTTTTTTTTTTAAAAAAAAAAAGGACAAGTGATACATCCCAGCAAGAGAGAGTGCAGAAATACATTAAACAAAAAAACCACTGCCATCGATTCAATTCCAACTCATAGCAACCCCCATTGGGTTTCTGAGGTGGTAAATCTTTACAGAAGTAGATTGCCCTGTCTTCCTTCCACAGAGGTACTTCTGGTTAGCAGTCAAATGCCTTATGCACTGTACCACTAGAGCTCCTTAGACAAACATTAGGAGTGGAGAAACATGCCTTACAGAAACTTCAAAGGGACTTTATTTATATGTGGAGAATGTTATCTCAGTAGATTCAATCATTTGGCTTCAGGATAACTCAAAGCATGATTTCAACACACCAGTCACTTCACTGGGAGAGGTATTATGCTGGTGGCATAGTTATTAAGTGCTAGGATGCTCACTGAAAGGTCGGTGGTTCAAACCTACCAGTTTCTTTACAGGAGAAAGATGTGGCAGTCTTTTTCTGTAAAGATTTGCTGTTGTTGTTAGATGCTGTTGAGTCACTTCTGACTTATAGTGACAGTGCGTACAACAAAATGAAACTTTGTCAGATCCTGTTTCATCCTCACAATTATTGCTATGATTATGAATCATTGAACCCATCACTGCAGTCACTGTATCAATCCACCTAGTTGAGGGTCTTCTTTGGCTGACCCTCTGCTTTACTAAATGTGATGTACTTCCCCAGGGACTGGTCCCTTTTAACGACATGACCAAAGGAGGTAAGATGAAGTCTGACCATTCTCACTTCTGAGGAGGATTATGGCTGCACTTCTTGCTTGTTCTTGTGGCAGTCAATGGTATTTTCAGTATTCTTTGCCTGTGGAGCTTTACAGCCTTGAAAACCTATGGGGAAGTTCTATTCTGTTCTATAGGATCATTATTAGTCATAATTGATGGAAACCAGGTTTTTGTTTTTGTTTTTGTTTTTAGTCATTAAAACAAATAAGGCTATTCAAAAATATTACCATCACCTTGGAGATCACCAGAATACTTTCAAAATTTGGAAAGCATCAGAAATCCTACTCCTCTTATCATGGCCAAGAGTCAAAAATGAAATATTAAGGCATCCTCTTAAGTAAAATAACAACTAGAACATCCTAAGAATAGCCTGCTGTCTTCCACTGAGTTGGTAGTGTTATCCATGCACATACCTGAGCAAGGGCTTACAAAGCTGAAGAAGGTCCAGTTCAAATAAATTCTGGGAGGTTTAATGAATAACAAGGAAATAAGTTTATCTGGACCAGAGTTAATAAAAAGACCAATGTAATGATTAGGTCAGAGAAGTAAAGCTCATGTAGGATCTTGAAGGTCATCTGTCTTTTGTTCTAAATAAAAGTGGGGAATCATTGAAGAATTTTGAACCAAAATCTCCAAATTATGATTTAAAGTCTGGTTCTTGAAACTATTCTGTATGTTGTCAAAGGTAGGAGCAGAAGTACCAGTTAAGGCTCTACACAATAGTCCAGAAGAGAAAGAAGTATATCTCAGAAATGAGTTGGTAAATATGGTCAAATTATGGATACAATTTGAAAATAAGCCAACAGAATGAATTGACAGATTGAATGCAAAGTGTAAGAAAAAGTTCTGAAATAATATGTCTATTGATATAAAGGAAGTAGATAGCAAGTCTAACATTTAAACCCAGGACTCTTTACAAAATTAGTGTTCTTATCACGTTTTATTATTTACTTTCAAATTTATTGGGGTGACACTGAGAGGTAAAATCTATATAGGCAATCACGAGCCAAGACAAGTGGTTGGTATGCCATGATAAGGAGTTTAAACATTTTTATTTATGATCACTTAGGAAGAATATTGTCATACTATAGCTTACATTTTACAAGTTTCACTAGAACAAAATAGGGGAAAATGAATTGGATTCAGTCAGTAGTGGAGAGTAAACAAACAGAAGATTGCTGAGTAAATAGGTGTGGTGAGTCGTACTGAAAAATTGGCTGATCACAAACTTTTGTTTCTTTACACAGTATTTAGGACAAAGAGGAATTGGGCAAGATTCATTTTATGGTCCCTCTCCTTCAAACCCCACTCCCAGAATCAGTTGACACAGGAAATTCACCTACACACATATGGCCCCAAAATACATTATAGACTAAGGATGGTGAAACAAAGGCTTCTAGGAGTTCTAGTGGCATAGTGCCTAAGGCACTTGACCACTAACCAGAAGCCTAGAGGTTCAAACCCACCAGCCACTCCTCAGAAGGAAGGTTGAGCAATCTACCTCTGTAGTGATACCACCTCAGAAACCCAAGGATG